AAGTCTTTACAAATAGGGAAGGGTGGAGGGGGTGAAGGGAGGGCAGGGGAATGGGGAAAAAATAAGAACCAAGATACGTCATGCAAAGGTACAAGATCCCAATGATGAATGTAACTGTATTGTATACCTAAAATGTACCAATAAACTTAATGGAGGAAAAAAAAATAAAAAGAATGGACTGACAACCCAACTTGGCTTCTCAGGCTCCATGCACCTTAGTGAAATTTGATTAAGTGTGGCTTTCCTTAGAAAGGGACTGCTCTTTTCTAGGTTGCTCACTTGATAAAGGATCAAGGTGAAATGGGTGGGGAAGTTTCTGAAAATTTGAGATTTTGTTCTGATCAATTTCTGTACATGATGTCTTTCTGGTGAAGTTGTACAAAAATGCTTTTCTGTGAAGATATTTTGCCTCTCTTGCCAACACCTACCCCTTCCCCACCAGATAAGAGGATGATTAAAAAATGTAAAATTATAATTGTAGATGGAAACACCGATTTTTCTAACAATTGAGAAAACTAAATGGAAGCCTCTGCATCTGGGGAAGAGGGAGCAGAGAGGGCATCAGTGATCTTTGTTTTTCAAAGCTGTTTTTGGAAGCTTCTACCTTTTCCTGAACAAAACCTCTGAGTATGCCTTTGCGAGCTGCTGAGAATAACATTGCTGAGTGTCTGATCACCGAAAAGGGCTGACTATGGCCTAGCGCCAGGCGGCCCAGCCCCTGTATTTTCCATCTGAAAACGTGCAGATGTTCAAACTCATGAGGTAGATGAACTAGGCCACCGACAGCAAAACCACTTGGAACCGACTGATAGTCCTTCTGAAGCCAAGGACTGGACTAAATTATTTGGGCTGGAGTAGGAAGCAAAGAACAAGCTGCTGCTCAAAGCAGGAGGCCTTGTGCTTCTACCTAATGCAGGTTCTCTTTGTTTCTAGGATTATCGTGTACTCTCTGGGATGGAACTTCTCAAGACACTGTCTCAGTCTGGGATGGCTTGCTGGTCAGCTTCAAATTACTGGTCATAGTTGATGTTATGCCCGAACTGATGCCTTGGGTAAGAAACTTATGGAGAAAGCCACCTGACTTTCTAAGATAGACCTATTATGATTAATAGGATTTGCTTTAACTATCCTAAGTACATGATTCCTAAAGGGTCCAATCGAAACCAATAGAGCAGGTTGGCCTCACTATTCTTTGGGTCTTACTGATGATACTTTTGCCATAAAGACGTCTTAGTCAATGACAAGGGGGTAGACTGTGTGGCGAAGATTAAACACAGCAGGCCTAAACTGTCCCCGAAAAGGCCTGCTTACAGACTGCCCTTTGCTGGCATCTGCGAAATTAGATTTCTGGTGAGTTCCCACCGTCCTGATAAGAATTGTTCACCCACACTGTACAAATAGTTGGTTCATGTTGAGCACCTGCCTTCCTTCGGAGAGACTGCAATTTCGGTATGTGCCAGGCGGAAGGTGCCAACTTAACCAGGCCTCACTAAAAATCCCAGGTATAGGGTCTCTAATAAGCTTCCCCGGAGAAGATTCTGATGTGTGTTGCTGAAATTGTTGCTTTGGAAATTAAACGTGTCCTGTGTGCCTCCTCTGAGAGAGGAGAGGACCCCTGGAATCCTGCATCTGGTTTCCCTCAGACTTCACCCCTTGCACCTTTTCCTCTGGTCATTGTGCTTTGTATGCTTTCACTGTAATAAATCATAGCAGTGAATACAACCACATGCTGAGGGGCTTTGAGTCTTCCCAGTGAATGACTGAAACTGAGGCTGTGGTCTTAGGGATCCCTAACACAGTTAGGAATAAGTATAAAATAGTCAAGAAAAAGCAAGAAGGCAAGTACGGATGAAGTCATGTAAGCAGAGTGGCAGAAGATGAAGGCTGAGAGAGAGACAGCCTGATCACATAAGGCCATGCCAGTAAGGGTGAGATTCTGGGTATGAGAGGAAGCCACAGGAGGCTTCTGAGCAGAAAGGAGGATGAATCAGGCCTCTGTCAGAGAGCTGAAAAGAAGGAAAAAGAGTGAAAATGGGGAGGTGAACAGGAAGCTCTAAGGTACAGAAAGTTCTTCAGTTGCCCTTGAATTCTTTAGAAAAGAACCCCAAGTAACAAATACAGGAGGAATGGTAGAGTTGCAAAGTCACCACTACGCAAACCAAAATGAAAGAAGGTCTGAAAGATAAATATAAATAGTTGCCCAAACCACTAGGCAGCAGGTCAGTGTACAACTCCAGAACAGCTGGATCAGCCTGATACTATCTGATTTCACTGAAAAAAAAACTTAATGTCACTAGAAATAGGACAGTCAGATACTATATGCCTCCTAATGTAAAGCAAAGCAATAAGTATACAACACCAACTAGGTAGAGCTAACTTCCCATTTTATAAAAGATACAGCAAATTGTGGAGAAAGCTAAATAACATTATAAGAATAAAATTAGCTAGACTCAAAACACGGGAAAATGTACAGCACAAAAGTCACTATTTCTGTAATACATAAAATGACACTTAAAGGGCAGGAGAACTATTATAGATTAAGAGAAACTGTAGATCTTACCTTGGATATGGAATTAAACAAATCATTATAAAAAATACCCAGAACAAGTGAGAAAACAGGACAGCCTGTATATTAGGTGATAAAAGAATAAAAGCTAATTTCATGATTTGGTTGAAAAAATTCTGGTCAAAGAACATGTAAAATGTGATTTAAAATACTCTAGGAAAGGAAAACAGGGTAAAATTGTGTGGGGTGGTAAAGATGAAACAAAAACAGCAGGATGCTGACAGTTGTTGAAGTTGGGTGACTAAGACATCTTCTACTCTTATGAGTGTTTAAAAATCCTCATAAAAAATAAAAAGGAATGGAGTAAACTAAGACTTGGAAAGATTTTAAAACAGTCAATACACACTGGACCAAAGTATAGGAAGAGTCTCAAAGAAAGTAAACAGAATTGTTTTTCTGAAGAATGATGCAACAATGCGTATCAAATGTTTTTAAGCCTGGGATTTAGCTCAGTGGTTCCGGCACCTGCCTCACAAGTGCAAGGTCCTAAATTTGATCCTTGGTACCAAAACCAAAAAAACAAATGTTTAAAAAAAATTTACATTCATTCCAGAAAATTTAAGAATTCTAAGAAAATTATCAAAGATGCACATGAAGATACATTGAAAATGGGCCGGGGATTCAGCTCAGTGGTTCCACCACCTGCCTCACAAGTGCAAGGTCCTGGGTTTGATCCCTGGTACCAAAAAAAACCCCCAAACAAACCAAAAAGATACATTTAAAACGATTTCCCAGGAAAACACTATAAAAAGTCCATGTCTAAATTATAGCAAATTTACACAACTTTTTACAGCCATTAACTATTAAACTATAAAAGAAAAATAACATGGGAAAATGTTCATAGTAAACTGTTAAGTGCAAAATGCAAAAAGTAAACTAGTATATATGTTTTGGCACAATTTAGTTTTTTTTTTTCTTTCTCTTTTTTCTTATGGTACTAAGGATTGATCTAGGGCCTTTGCACTGAACCACTTTCCCAGACAGGTTCATATTTTTAATTTTGAGACAGGGTCTCACTAAGCCACTAAATTGCCCAGGTTGAGCTTGAATGTATAATCCTCTTGCCTCAGACCCGTGGAGTTCTGGGATTATGCGTGTATGCCAGGTGCCCAGCCCCAATTTACTTTTCTTAAAACTATTTATATACCTAGAAAAAAGCCTGTAAGAGTATTCTTCATGATGTTAATAGTTATTATTTTTAGTTGATGGGATTAAGTTCTTTTTCATTTTTTAAAGATGGTTTTTCTATGCACAAGTATGATATATTTCCTGTAAAAATTTTGAAGATGTAAACATTCAAGTCTGGATCAATTCCTGTGTCGTTAATAATGAAATAGTAAGTGGCCATGGTGGCGATCTTTGAAATCATAAACTGAGTAACAGAAGGGTGGAAGCAAAACACAGAATAGACACATTAACACATTTTTAAAAGGATAGCCTTTTGGTACACTATTATGAGAAAGACCAACTTTTAAATTTAAAAGAAGTGTCAAGAAGGTGAGAGAAAAGGATTAAAGTTTGTAAGTTTACATATGTTTCAAATGGAGAGGTTAAAAAACAACTAAATCAAATTACAGTGATGATTAGAAAGGTTACTATAGTAAAAATCCTAACATAATTCTGAAAATGTCCAAAGCAGCATGTTAGACAATTCTTTCTGTGCTTCTATTTTGTGCATTAACTGACAGATTGTTTTTTTTTCTGGTAGCAGGGATTGAACTCAGGACCTTGCACTTGCAAGGTAGGCACTGGAACCACTGAGCTAAATCCCCAGTCCTGACAGATTATTCTTAAAAATTTCTCAGGAAGAAACTGACATACCAGTATCCAAAAAGAAATGTTAGGGTATTAATGTAGCCTGTGTACAACTTCATCTACCTAATTCAGCTATGTGGGTCAACTCTGATAGTCAAATATTAAAATATAGAAAAAACCACAAAACTACATTTTATATAATTATATATGGTTAATAATCAGTAAAATCAGTCTTTTTCAACATCTTCAACAGTCTTTTTCTTCTGCACTTACTAGTTTAATAACAGTCTCTTTCCTACATCAGGCAAAAGCAAAGAAAACGTCCAGACTACCTGGTTTCCGTACTTTCTTTGGTGCTTCATAGTCCTTTTCTGGATTTGGAGATTCTAGAAAGCTGATTTCTTCTGTGGCACTTTTCCCTTCCTGGCTCTTGAGGCTATTTTCCTCTTCTTGAATGGGGGATTCCAATTCTGATTCTTCTGAATCAACAAATATCTGACCAGCAACTACTCTGCCTGTGGTAGTGTGGTCCTTTACTGACTCATCTGATGGCAAAGAAGTCTGAGAATATGAAGTATTTTTAGTTATCAACAGTATCAAGATTTCATCCAACCCAATTTGTCCATTCTTTTTACTAACCCAGCCGTCTCCTTCAGCTCCTTAAAGTGCCGCCCTCCATCACCTCTACAGGGTTTAGCTTGTGTAAATCACATGTCTTTATCGTCTGCTGAACTCTTTGAATTTCAACCAGGAAGTCTTCCTTAATCCCTAGTATCTGGGTTAGCTTCTCCCTCTCCATGATCCAATCCCCTATGATAATTCTGTTATCATAACTTCCCGTCTTTATCTGTATTTCCGCTAATCCAGAGATTATAGCTCCTAACTAAGCAGTTTCCTGGCATATGTAAGAACCAGCCTTATTTATTCATTCAACCAACAGATGCATTAACTCCTTAGAATTCTTTTTGAAAATTTATGTAAATAGACACAAATGGCAGAGTCTTTAAAAGTTGGAGACTGAACTCAGGCCCTCACCGAATCAGCCAACACTTTCAATGAAAACATTTGCTATTCTCCCTCGTAGGTCAGTGATTTTTTTTTTTTATTTTTTACCCCAGAAGAATTAGAATATTGATAACCACTTATCTGTTTTTTTAAAAAATTCAATTCTGTCACTCAAAAGATGCAGACTTCATATCCTTTCTAAGTTGCATAACTCTTTGCTTTTAAATTGGGCAGCAAATATCAGCCATTGCAAATTTTAGTACATACCTTAGAATCTAAGGATTCATCCTGGTTGCCTTCTTCATCTGCAAAGAAATTTTAAGATAATTTAGTCATCTTTTTGTCGGGAAATTACAAATGTTATTAAAAGAAAACATCTGATAGGCACAACAACAAATAAGACACTATGCCTAGATTGAAAAATTAGTTGTAGTCAGCAACTGTTCACAAAAGATTAAGTAAAAAAAATGGGTTCAGGTGGTAGATTTTCTCTAGGTAGGAAGACAAATTACCCCTGTTCCCCGCCAAAGATATTTCAGATTCCAGTCAATTTTCTGTATATATTTAGTCTATTACTGACAATGAATTACTAAGTATAAAAATATACCTTTAATTTCATATTCCTGCTTCTACCTATTCTGTTCCTTTGCTCAGGATGTGGAGGTAAATTAGCTTATCTTATTGCCAATTAGCATTTTACTATTTGATAATACTATTAATCAATATAATATAAATAATATAATAATTATTACTATTTGTCAATAGAGTTACCAGACAAATATACTTAGGACTTGTATTCTACTTTACTAAAGAGATAACCAGATATAGGTAAAAGTAGCATCATCCTGTCATGTACTCACTCACGTGAAAGCTATTTATTAAGACATTAACGGTTCATGTTAAATGATGAATCGAGCCACTAATTATACCTTTCTTCCCAATTCATACAGGTTGTTTTGGTTTTGTTGGATTACATAATATTCCTTATATTATTCTTTCCATATTTTCTGGCTGTCACTGTTATACTGGCTGCTTATTATTCTTTCTCCTGCTCTTATATAAACACATGCACCAACCCAATGTTCAGTCACAAATGTTTGATCTTTGTATTCATTGCCAGCTTAAAAAAACCAAACTGTGAGATTATCTCTGTTTTCTGCTTGCTCTTGAAATTACCTGAGTTTATATAGGAGCAAGTTTCAATTCTGCCTGCTCTGTCAGCTATCTGAGAAATTAACCAGCAGATAAAATGCTGTAAGACCACTTGATTTTTACTGGTAAATGTGGTCCTACCTTACTTCATACAGATATGGTTATACCCTAAATATTATTTGGAACTTGTAACTCTTTACAATAAAAACATGTTTTGGAATTTGTTACCAAAGTATCAAACTAAGAAGCACAAAATATACAACTCTTATTTCACAAAACTTGTTTTGAGTATCTGAGAAAATCAGTCTACCAGTGAAGTTTTGCCATATATGAAGCTGGTGTCAGTTTAAAGAAAATTTAAATTAAAGCTACTACTTACATTCACTTACTTTTAGACTACCTTCAAAATATGTTTTTATTTTTAGAAGGAGAAGAGTATTTCACGTATTGGTCCCACAGTGCCCGTAACATTTAGGCAGTGCTGTCAATTGGGATTCATCCTTCCCAGTAACTTCATTACAAGTATCACCCAAAGCCCAAGTTCTAACAGACAGTTCAAGTTCCATTTTCAGTAAATTTGGGACAAAGGAAAATATTCATCTCTATTATGTAGCAAAGTTTTATGCATATAGTTAATCACAATTTTTAACTAGTTAATATATCAAGAGCAGACTTTAAGTGTGCAGATTTATATGATATATTCCCACTGAACTTCGGAGCAGCTGAGACTAGTCACTAATCACTAAATCTAGTACGACACTTGGAAGCTAATGGGAAAATAATATAGATAACATAAATAAATACAAAGACACATATGTTTGAAAGCTTACTATAAGCCGTAAGGCATAGGAGAAGCAAAATGTTATTTCTGAACTCCACAAAACATGACTTGTGACATCAGGATCATTTCATGTGAATTGCATCATGCTTCTCTCTTAACAAACTAGGAATATATACTAAGATTACTGGTAAACAAGCATTCTTTTTCAGTTACTAAACTGGGAAAACCTACTCCAGATGGTAGTCTTAAGCATAAGCTGTTTTCTCTTTCAGACTGACAGCCACATTCACACAACACTTTTTATAAGGTTGCTTATGACCAATGCACTTTGGACATGTAGTCTTTTGGAAAAGATTAGAGAGACACGAGAGTTATGCATACCGAAAAAGTAAATAGTAAATGTTCTGCTTTCACCAGAATACAGACATCAAGCAAAAAGAATGCAAAGGGACTCAATAGTTACAGATTTCACACTCACTGGTATCACACCTAAAATACAATTATCCACACTACTTTATTAATTGCGCACCTTCCCTTGAAAAACATCAATTTTCATTTGTATATCAGCTGACAAAACTGCAAAGCACTAGGGATCTTTTTTCAAGGACAAAATGTTATGACAAATTCATTTTACCACCTGTCATGTAACTTAAACAGACTGATCACTTTCAAGCATGCAGTCTGAAGAGTTTGGTGAAAAGGGACTAGATATCCTGCCTTCTGCATTGCCCTTTTGTTTAGGATCTATGCGAATCCTATGACAGTACTGACTCTGAGTTACTCCAAATCCGAGACCAGTTTGAGACCTGGCTTCCCCACAGATTAATTTGAACACTCATGGTTCAACACTGAAAGCTTGCTCAGCCTTCATTTTCTCAGTCTATCAAGAGGGAATAATTTCATCCATCCTGCTGGTTCACAAGATGAAAAGAACAACTAAAACAGCGAAGTTATCTATCTTCTGCAGTCTAAAAACTACTCTCAGAATTTATGTTACTAGTATAATTATTATCTGAAATATCTAGCAGTGGGTCTTATTAAAAATACTGTACTATTGTTTGGCACAAAGGAACAAAAGTAAATCATTTGCTTCTTTTTCCCCAAAACAATAAAGCATTTATTATTATTTTCCTTTTGGTGTGGGGCTGTGAACTCAGGGCTCCTGCAGGCTTTGCACATGCTCTATCACTGAGTTTATGCCCTCAGCCCCAAGTAAACATATTTTTAAGTGAGAAAATTTACTGCCTTTTCACTATTAAGAAAAAAAGAGAGGGCCAGGGATTTAGCTCAGTGGTTCCTCTGCCTACCTCGCAAGCGCAAGGTCCTGAGTTCGATCCCTGGTACCAAAAAAAAGAAAATGAAAGAGAAATTTTAATCTCCTTAAAGTTTATTCACAGGGAAAAGAAAACATTTCTAATGTAACTCTCCTATGTTTTGCAAGTCTCTAAAACAGGGTACAAGATAATTGCTACTGACAAGGATAAGATCAGTATCTTCTTTGTTGGCTAAACATATTCTACCTGATTATAAATGAAACTCGCCCTGGGTAACCACTAACACTGACACACAAATTACCACCAAAAACTTGATTTTTGTGGGGTTTTTTTTTTGGTACTGGGGATCGAACTCAGGACCTTGCACAGGTGAGGCAGGCGCAGTGCCAAAATTGATTTTTATATAGGAGCAAAGCTTTAAATATTTCAAACAAGGCTGGAATCCTATATAAATAAGCACTCTACTGAATGACAAACCCAACTAAAAAAATCAAAGCACTTAACTTATAAAACTTTATATCATGTGTTTTATGATATGTGAACTTCAGGTGATGATGGCACAGTTGTCAGAGGATTGGTTTTAGGACTCTCCAGCCTCCAAACCCAGGATACCAGGCGGGGGATTTAGCTCAGTGGTTCTGCCGCCTGCCTTGCAAGCGTATGGACCGGAGTTCAATCCCTGGTACCAAAACAAACAAACAAACAAAAAAACAAAAAAACCCAGGATACCAAAATCTGATGCCAGTCTCTTCTATAAAATGCAGTGGTTTACATATAACCTAATTACTTATGACACCTAATACAATGTAACGTTATGTAAGTAGCTGTTATAGTGTGTTGCTTAGGAAATAACAAGAAAAAAGTCTATACATATTCAGCACAAACACAATTTTTTCCTCTGAGTATTTTCCATCTTGGGTAGGTTGAATCCACTTATGTGACTTGCCAAATAGGGAAGACCATGGCCTCTATTACCTTTCAGCGTGAATGTCTATCTTCTTTTAATTCTGGCTAAGTTTTCAGATTTACTAGGGAAATGTTTTGGCATACCTTTTACTATGATGGAAATCAAAGCAGGTAATTCCTGAACACAGACCTCCTCTTACATCAATACACCAACAAGATTTAACACTTCGGTATTAATAGCTTTGCATTATAACATCCTGAAAAACCTACCTGTAGATCTTTAAGAACCCATCTCCTTACATAGAGCTCTAAGTTAAATAATCAAAAGACGACACAGGAACATTTGAATACTTTTCTTTAAACTCCACAAATTGAATTCTGATGGAATACATATCATGTTCTTAGTTACTGTAGTTCTCAATTTTTTTTTTCTCTTGGTACGAGGGATTGAACTTGGGACCTTGCACCTGCAAGGCAGGCGACAGAAGCACTGAGCTAAATCCCTGGCCCTGTTGTTCTCAAACTTTAATAAGAACCACTTAAAGAACTTATACAAATTCATATACAGATACCTGACCTACTCCAGACCTAAAACTGAGTTTTAAAAAACTCCTCAAAGGAATTCTCTTGCAGGTGGTTCATGGTTCGTCAGGCATGTTACCTACTAAACTCTCAACAGCTTCATTTCATACTTCTTTTGCTCAAACAACTGTTAAAAGTGGTTCAGGAGTTATGCACTGAACAGTCTCTAAAGATTTGGTCATAAACACAAAGTATCACCGCAACGGGAGGGGAATGGACCTCATAGTGATGGTGGCCGTAATTAGCATATGTTTGTTGCTTTAGAAATCGTATCTCAAACCACAAAGAGAACAGAAATTTGGTTCAGGCCTCTTATTTTAGAAGCAGGATGACGTTATGGCATTGATTTACAAGTAGGACAGATAATCTGGGAATTCAAATAACCATCTGGGAAATTTACTGCTGGGAAAAAAAGTGACATTTATGCTCTGTCTTATTCCCCCAGATTTAAAGCTGCAGAACAGCTGTCTTGTTAACTGAAGCTGATTAAAATTTGAAAACTTTACTGTACAATTGTTTACCAACTCCTAGAAATACTAAGTATTTTTAAAATTAACACTCCCCAAATAGAAGTTTTTTGATGTAAGCAGATCAAAAGATTAAAAAAAGAAAACCAGAATATAAACCAGCTAGTTGGAAAATCAATTCAAAAGCACATGAATTTTTGTGTCTACATGAAAAGGCGAATAACACTTGTTATTTATTCTGTAAGGACCAAATCTTTCTCAAAAGTCATAAACCCCCCGTCAACAAACAAGGGCAAGTCAGAAACACTGTGACAGAGGTCACCACTCTTTCAAGAAGTTTTTTAAAAGAGAGGTAGGGTGGTTACAACCACATCAGAAGTCTCCGTTTCTAAACAAGTAGATCAGGGAGCACCTCAGGTGTTAAGCAAACCCACCGAGCCACTGTCCACATCTCAGCCTTGATGGGCCCTGCCCTGCCCAAAGTGACAGCTCCAGATGTACCGATTACAAATCCCAAACCCAGAGCTCCAGAACGGAAGCAAGACATAGTCTATATGACTCAGGTCGAGGAAGCACCAGTCGGATCCCAGTTTCGCGGTGGGGCTAAGCCAGCTGTCGGGGTTCAAGCCCACGGAGTCAATTCCTCTTCCGAGAGAAGTCGGGCAAAGTTTGTTACGTGGGAGAGGTGTGGGCAAGGTGCCTGCCCCTTCTCATCCTCCCACTCAGCTCCCTAGACAGCCCCACTGACCCAGGCAACCGACGCCAAGGAAAGACAAGTGACAGGCAGTGCGCGGTGTGACCAGCGAGCCAGCCCCGAGCCCCCGGCGCCCGTCCGCAGGTGGAGGCCGGGGGGCGACGGCTCCGGGCCTTCGGCCCATGGGGCGGATACTGACCCGAGGACGGCGAGGCCGAGCCCAGTAGCACCGCACAGAGCAGCAGAGTCAGCCCGACCCGGACCTGCATCCTGTTGTCGCAGCCCTCCGCCACCCGCGGGAGTTGTCCGTCGCCTTTGATTCTGCCACCACCAACTCAGCCACCTCCGCCGCCTTACCGCCGCTCTTCCTGCTCCAGTTTCCTCCCTCCGCCCCTTCCCAGGCCTCCCTGATCCAGAGACCAGCCAATCCTCGCCCGCCGCCGTGGGCTACTCGCCCAATCGTCGTGGTCGTCCCTCCCACCCCCTTGTCCCAGCCCAATGTTATAGATTGGCCAATCACTGTGCGAGGTTCTCACACCAGCTTTCCCGGTTGGACCACGGCCTCACCGACCTGGCCCCTGATAATTGGTAACGCCTGAATCCGAGTGTGAGTTCTGGGTTGAGAGGAGGGAAACTCACTCAGAACTACAATCCCCACAATGCACTTCATGAATTCACTGGGCGTTTGCTCTTGGGAACCGTAGTCCATTGTAGAGCAAGCTTTGTAATTGTAAGCGGCACCTGAGATACATGTGAAGGCTATGAACCCACAGCCTTTTTTTGTTTTGCTTTTAAGCCAAAATAAATACAAAAGAACAGATATGATAAGGTTAAGAACTAGTAACTCGTTCAGCATGTTTTCCTACTTGTTTATTTAGAAATTTTAAAATACAAAAACTGAAAATTTTCACTATTTTAATTTAGACTTAAAAGATTTAGATATTTTAAAATAACTAACATAAAACAGTACCGTGGTATACAAAAGCCAGGGTGCAACCAACTGCCTGTCCTTTGTTTCCCATCAAAAACAAAAGGAAATAAATTGCACCTAGTCTAGATTATTTCACTGCTAGTATTCATTTTTAATTAAGGTCATCTGATAATTATTTGGAAAATGTGGCAACACCTGTTGCAAAATCCTTTCAAACACTTGTCCTCATGCCTCTTGGCTTGCCAATTGCACTATAGTCTTCTTCTTTGAGCAGCCCTCAAGGCTAGGTTGGTATTTGTAGAGGTACAGATGATAGTGATAGCACTGGAGAAACAGAGATGCTTTCTGTGATAAGCACCAGTTCAGGCATATTCCCGCTGGGCAGCAGGGCAATGACTTCTTTCATCAAACTGTGTCCTTCTGCTTTCCTGAATGCACACCCACAGTCAACTATTGATTGGCCCTTGGGCCCAGCCAGGCCTCCAGCAGACCTTTGGAAAAGCCCACCCTGACTCTGTGGACTTGATTGGGTCATTTGTCGCCCATGTTCTTTGAGAAAGAGTCTTTTTTTCCAGGAATAAGGCAAACACTTGACTGCTGTTTTTCATTCAAATCACAGAGGATGAAGGGACCATACTATCTTACAGAGAAGTTCTCTTTTCCTCTGCACCCACCTTGGCTCTTATCTCCATTGATGCGACTACCAGTGTTTGTTCAGAGTTCCTCTGATTTTAAATCATGGAGTAAAATCTGGTTTATTTTTCTTCCCTTTTCATCTTATTGATCATCAGTTCCTATCAGTTCAAACCATGTAATTTAAAAAATTTTTTTCTTGTATTATTTACCTTTTTTCCCTCTCTTGCTTCCTTAATACCCTCATTTTCCCCTCCGTGGATGGTGCACTAGAGTTGTACTAGTTATCTTCACTGGCACCATCCTCCTTTCACTCTAACCTAGGTCATACACCGTGGCCGTAGTAGTTTTCCTTGGACACCCCTGTATATACTTATTCAAGAGTTTTCAGCGAGTTTTTTTCCAATAGAATAAAAAATTAGAAGTTCCTCTACTCATGAAATAGGAACACATGCTGGCAGTTCCCTTTTGGGGAAGGGTTGTGCAAGACATGTCCACCTTCCACCCAAGAAGCAGTGATTAGCTGATTAATTTGATAGGAGAAGTTCTCGGCTTAGTTAAGGCCCAACTTCTCTTTTCATTTTTGTCTTCTTATAGTCAAGGCCCCGTGCAGGGTGCTGCATAGACTGATTTCCACTTCTTTTTAACTGCTTTACAGATTTTCACAGCAGCACCATCTTGCCTGCCTCTGGGCTCTCCTACCCTCTCCCAACCTACTTCTTTGCTGCAGCCCTGGCATTCTTCCCAATTTCACTTGTATTTCTTCTCGGCTAAGATTTCTCCTCGTCAATCTTGATTTCTTTGTATCTACCAAACATTTGCAATCTTGCCTTTTAGAGAGCTTATCGACTTACTGAGGCCAGAAGCAATGATATGGTTCTGTGTATGGGTCTAGAGCACAGAAATGGTCCCCCCAATAGCCCTAGATAGTTATTGTTGAATGACAGACATAGCTTACTTGCCTATTGTAATTTTCAAATGAGAGAGCCAGGGAAAAAGCACTTTCTGCACTGTGAAGTGTTTACAGATATCATTATTTTTTGTCAATTTCTTGTAAAGGATATAAATCAGTTTTATCTCCTTAATTTGAAAGAGTTTAGAGCTGCTAGAACTTTTGTCATTAGCCAGCAGTAAGTCTTCTGAGAATGGTCATAGGACCCCAACTTCCTGAGGGAAGTTTCTGATCTCTAAAGCAGGTTTAAAATATGGTATGGGAACATCAGGTTTATTTGGTCAGCCTGCTACATTGCATGATGTTTAATTAGAAAAAAGACTGTGAATTCTCCATGGCCTTATCTAGTCTGAGCATATACCCCTCAAGGTTCCCTATCAGCCTTCCCAGTTAAAATTATGGACTCTGCGGGGTACACAATGTTAATGTTGTCATTTATTAATTCATAGACTTTAATATTTGCTCAGCTGCACTATATTAAGTCTGTCCACATCAGTGTTTTAAGTCATTCTCAAAGATTTGCAAATGGTGGGAAACCTGTTAGCTCTCCATTCCAACTCAGCATAGGACCTGACAGAGGGAGGTCATGGCGCCTTTCTATGCAGATGACATTCTATGTGACTTCATTTCATTGAGGTAAATCAAGCAAGCAGCAAATATGGAGGCCTCCTGAGAGTGTTGAGCACATAGACCCAGCCTGTTTCTCACTTACAGTTGGTGGAACAACTCCCAGAGACTTTTCCTGAGAATGGAGTGATTGCCACTAACTCCGGGGTGCTACTCCTTTTCTGTGCAGTTCTTAGGGATCTGCTTGAGTTGGAAATGTGTGCAGGCTGCCAGCACCTGTATCAAGGTATATGCCAGGGAAGGCTGAAGGAGAGAGAGGCAGAGTTTTCCCCCATAGGGCTTAGAAAAGAGTGTATTTTTTTTTTATATAGATGATGTGAACTAAAGTCATTTCTCTTTTTGGAGACAGGGTCTTGCTGGCCTCAAACTCATGGGAATCCTCCTGCCTCAGCCTTCCGGGTGCTGGGATCGCAGGCATGTGCCACCATACCTGGCTTAAAGTCATTTATTTTTAATGCACAAATAAAATATAAATCCTTGCATTCTATGTAGTGAGATGTAAGGGTGTGTGTTCATTTACATTCTTTTTGGAGCTTTTGGAATAAACGAGCAATGGCTTTATATCTCATTGCATATTTCATAATTCACATTCCTCAGGACAATGCATGGCAAGCATACAATAAGTAATTAAATAACTTTGGGATAGGTATATTATATTATATTATTATAATGGTCGCAAAATTCAAAGTGTAGGTCACAGAATTTAGAGGAACGTTTTCATTCTATGAAGTTTTTTATTTATTCAGTTTTTTTGTGAGGCTCAAGCTCAGGACCTTGTGCTTGCAAGGCAGGTGCAGTGCCACTGAACTAAAGCCCCAGCCCTCTACTAAGTTTTGAAGCCAAAAGAAAGTGAGGTGGGGGAAAGAGTGGGCCCCAGTCTGTTTACCAAGTTTCAACCTGAAGGGACATTTACTTTTGGGGATGGGAAGGTATTTTTTCTTTCTTTCTGAGCAGTGTTGAGTCATGTCAGATAAAGGAAGGGCCAGGATACTTTCATATTATGAATAATTGGATGGGAATTTGGGATCCAATCTTTTTATAGATTTGCTAAGTCTTAGCTCTGGAGAAAGACTAGGTTAAAACTAAATTTTAATAGTAACTTGATGAGGTGAACTTGATAAAATGGAGGTAAATAGCTTGGAGTTCCCATTAAATTCAGAATACTTAACTCCTGAGTAGAGGGATTGGCAAGACAGGAGGTCAGAGAGTCAGAGAATGATGAAGTCAGTAGTGGTGCTGGTGGACTGGACAGCTTAGGAACTTTAGGCCCACTCAAGGGACAGCCAGAATACTACTTTTGATGGCTTTGAGAGGGGCAGTGAGGCTTGGACAATGGTCTAGTGATCTTCCTTCTCCAGCAGAGCAATGAGTACATTTATTAAACACATTATTTTATTAATTGCTTGTATATAATGTTAATGTGATCAATTAGAACAGCTGTATTCAAATGTCTGATTCAGAGGATGTTCGTAGATTGGCTAGAAATTGAGAAGGATGAGTGTAAAATAGTCATTTAAAAATCTCTGAGGAAGTGAATGAATGAAATGCAGAGGAAATATTTATAATACATGTATTTTAGAGATAACTTGTATTCAAAATATATGAAAAATTAATAACAAACTCTAACAAGTATAAATAACTATGTAGAATAAGGTAAAAGAAACGCGAACTAAAGAATATAAATAAAACATTTATTACACACATATATAAAAAGAATAATAAGAGTACAAAAAATTTTGTTGTTGTTGTTGTTTTTTTAGTACCGGGAATTGAACTCAGGATCCTGCACTTAGGAGGCAAGTGGCAGAACCACTGAGCTAAATCCCCAGCCCCAATTTTTTTTTTTTTTTTTTGGTACCGGGGATCGAATTTGGGGCCTTGCGCTTTTGAGGCAGGGAGCAGAACCACTGAGGTAAATCCCTGGCCAAGTATAAAAAATTTAAAATGGAACAATGGTATAGATGCTTTTCAAGGAATATGTACAAATAGAAACATGAAAAGATATTCAGCATTATTAGCTACCAGGGAAAAGCAAGTTGAAATCACATTAAAATATTGCTTACTCCCACTAAAATGACTAAAATTGAAGATCCTGATAATATCAAATATTAATAAAGATTTGGAGCAATTAGAACTCTCATATACAACTGGTAGGGCTATAAAAAGTTAGATCTAGATTTGTTTCTCTGGTGTGAGAAACTGAAAGTGTAAATGAGGACCAAAATGTATAATAGATATTGTGAAATAGGAAGATAA